TACTATTAAGAAAAAAAAAGATTTGGATGCTATACTATTTGGTGCATGTATGTTTAGTAATGATATTATTTCATTGTATATGGCAGGGCTTCTTAAACTTTTTCCATCTGCGAAATTTTTGTGTTTCGGCAGCATTCATTGTTGTTGCCTGGTGGGGGTGGACATGTGTAGTACAAAGTTCCCATGCTTTGTACTCAGAACCAAGGCTGCAGTGAAGTTGTGCAATGCAAAATGGGCAAGTGCTACCAGAAACACATCAGATACATTATGTGTTTGATTTTTTTTTATTTCCACTTCCTCAAGTCATTTTATTTTTTATTAATTTATTTTGATTTATCAATAATCACTTCCATATGCTTTTGAGTTTAAAATTTTTCTCCCCCTCCTCCCCACCACCCTCCCCAAGATGGCGCACAATCTGATATAGGCTATACATTTACATTCATATTAAACATTTTCACATTAGTGATGTTGTAAGTGGAAATTAAAACCAATAGGAGGAACCATCAGAAAGAGGAAACAAAACTCAACAGAAGAGAAAAAAATAACAATTCAGCTTCCATAGTTCTTTCTTTGGATGTAGATAGCATTTTCCATCACAAGGCCTCTGGAGATGTCTCAGATCCTTGCATTGCCAGGAAGGGTTAAGTTTATCAATATTAGTCATCACACAACGTGGCTGTTATTGTGTACAGCGTTCTCTTGGTTCTGCTCACTTCACTCAGCATCAGTGTCTTTTGTTCAAGCTGTGTTTTGTGTGTGTGTGTGTGTGTGTGTGTGGAGAGAGAGAGTACTATTAACAGTGTTAACTGTAGCAATTCAAGTAGGATGAGGACTTTGAAAAGGTCATCAGATTTGGTAATTAAACCATTGATGACTGGAAAGCAATTTCAGGAGTTTCCCATCTTCTTGGGAAGACAAAGTTCATGAATATGTGAAAATTCAAATAATAGTAATACAAGGACTATAACAAAGGTCAGTTTTCAGATGCATGATAAATTAAGGGATATGTGAAGCCAGTGTGAGCTGACTGCTTGGTCAGGATAGGCAGATTTCATGGAGGAAGAAAGGTTTTGAGCTCATTTTTGCAGGATAGGTAGAATTTTGGTTGGGATGAAATCTGTAGCATTGTCCTTCTTCCCTACGCCTTTTTTGTTTTTGTGGCATGTTCTATCTCTTAATGCTTCCTATTTTCTGTGACCTAAACCACCAAATAATTTAACACTAGAACGTTGTAGTCTGTCATTGAGGTTTGTGGTTTTTCCTTTGGGGCATTGGGGGAAAGAGGCAAAGGAAGAAGCATTGTAGATAACATGTTTGGTATCTGGTTTAAATAGTATTGCATTGTCTGTTTGAGACTTAATTCTACATGTCCTTATTCACCTGAAATCTAATTGGTCACTAGGTGGGTTTCTAATTATTATGTCCTCGGAATTGTACTGAGAAATATTGAAGTCTCTTGGAAACCATTATGGATCATGCCCTTCACCTCTTCCCTTTTCCCAGTTCTGGGTTCTGCTTTGAATTTTGACTTGATGGAAAGGGAGCCCCAAAATATTGGAGTCTCATTCCTTGGATTTTTCTATTTCTTGTGAAGTTCGTGTGTTTTTCCTCTCTTATTAGTTTTTTTAGTGGAGGGGGAGAGGCTAAGAGGAAGAGAAGAGTCCAGTCTTAGTTAAGGAAGGATGACGATCAGGGAGAATATGTGAAGGTCCCTGAAATAGTTCATGGTTTTTTTAAGAGAGCAAAGATTAGAAAAAGAGCAGAGCTGGGGAGAATGAGACTTTGAAGAAACACAGTTTACCAAATGTTGTTCAATGGAAATGAAGCATGAATTACTTATAAACAAGATTTACTGAAGTGAAAACCTGGCAGACTTTCTTCTTTTTATGTGCCAGTAAGTCAACAAGCACTGATGAAGTACCTGTTCTATGTCTAACTCTGCTGGTGCTTTTGGGGGAAGTAGTCAAAATGAGCATTCCTGGCTTCAGGGGCAGATAGCATGTGAACAGGTGAGGATAAGCATCGCATTTGTGAGGAACGATGCACAGACAAACTGGACTGGTATGGAAGAATAGATGAAGGTGGGACCAGTTGTTGAAGGGCTTTCAGTATCAGAATGAAGTACTTAGATTTGGTCTGAGAGTCAGTAGGGAACCAACCATATTAGTTTCTTAACAAGCAGGACATTGACAATGAAATTACTGTTGGAAGACTCCTCTGTTATTAATATGTAAGATAGGTTGATATGAGATGGGAAAAGAAGTTAGGAGGATTTTTATGTCTGTGTGGGTACAATTAAAACTGTTGGGTTTTGAAGCACTTAAGCGTTACAGTTTCTTCATTTCAAGTAGAATGTTAACTCCTTGAAGTCAGGGGCTGTTTTATTTTTTATCTTTGTATCCCCAGGGCGTACCTAGTACAATGCCTTTACTTAGTGGATCCTTAATAAATGCTTGTTAAATTGAATGCTTTCTTGGCCATCCTTTAGCCTGTGCAATTCCCTCCCTCAGAAATTCTAGCCTGGCACCTCGGATCACTAGGTCATTCATTGATCCTTGTTCTTTCAGTACATATCTTGTTCAGCTTTTTTTTTCTGAAGTAATCCATTGAAATTTAGCATGGATTTACTTTGTAATTATAACCTTCCAAGTAAGAATGAAGCACATCAGAAAAGTGTTGATTGAAACCAAATGGCGAGGATGGCATTGGCTCTTTAAAAGTTAGTGCTCAGCTTCTCTTTGACCCAGAAAGAACACCCGTAGAAGATTAAAAAAAAAAAAAGAGGAAAAGATTCTTTATGTCCAAAAAGTATGGGAGTCCTTTTTGGGGTGACAAAAAACTGGAAGTTAAGGGAGTGCATGTCGTTTGGAAAATGGGTGAATGAATTATGGTATATTAATGCAATGGAGTGCTATTATGTTTTAAGAAAGGAAGAAAAAAACAATTTCAGAGGAAACATAGAAAGATTTGTATGGATTGTTATCAAATGAAGTGAGTAGAACCAGGAGAACAATTTTTTTATTTCTCCACTTAATAGTATTTTTTTTTCCAATTACATGTAAAGATAGTTTTCAGTATTCACTTTTATAAGATTTTGATTTCCAGAATTTTCTCTTTCCCTCCCCACCTCTCCCTCTTACCTCCTTCCCCAATATAGCAAGCAGTCTGACGTAAGTTATACATGTACAGTCATGTTAATTATGTATCCACATTAGTGATATGAAAGAAGAATCAGAACAAAAGGTAAAAACCACAAGAAAGAAAAAACAAAAAAAAGTGAAAATAGTATACTTCAATCTGCATTCAGATTCCATAGTTCTTTCTTTGGATGTGTATAGCATTTTCCATCCTGAGTCTTTTGGAATTGTCTTGGATTGTTGTATTGCTGAGAAGAGCTAAGTCTGCCATAGTTTATCATCACTCAATGTTGCTGTTACTGTGTACAGTGCAGGAGAACAATTTATACTATAATATCAACATGTAAAGACAATTCATTTTAAAGATTTAAGAACTTATGATCAATGATTAGTCTTGATTCTAGAGAACTGATGATTGAGATTTTGATCCACCTCCTGACGAGAAGTGATGGATTAATCTGAAAAACTTGACACACATTTTTGGACATGGTCATTATGAATTTATTTTTCTTGGCATGCTTATTTGTTATAAGGGCTTTTTTTCCCTCCAGGTGTAGAGAAGGAGTGGGAGGGAGAAAAAGTTTTTTCAAAATTGGAAAAAAAAATTTAATTTAGAAAGCAAAAGCAAATCAAAAAAAGGATAGTACTCATGCTGCCAGCCAATGAAGTTGATCTTCTTGATATCTAATATGAATGTTTTAATTTTTATCATATGTATATACCTGTCTTTGCTAAATGATCAGCTCCATGGAGGTTGTCTATCTTCTCTCTCTCCTCTCTCTCTCTCTCTCTCTCTCTCTTTTCCTTTGTTCCTTCCTCTATACCATCCTTCATTTATTCATTTATAATATCCTTTAGTGAGATACACATTGCCCTCCAAATAGTAATTGTTTAATAAAGGACATTTAAGGCCCTCCGTAATAACGCCTTTCCAATCTTATTTCATATCACTCATCACTCTTTGTATACTTTTTCAGTTAGGATGCCCTGCTAGCTTTTTCTTGTACAGGATATTCTATCTCCCTCCTTCATGGCTTTGCATGGGTCATCCAGCACAACTTATATGCACTCATAGAATTCCCTAGCTTCCTTCAAAGCAGAACTCATAGACACATCCTACTAGAGCCTTTTTTCTGAATCTCCCTGCCTTTTCCATGCTGTTACTACTTTCTCTATCTTAAAATTACTTTGTTATTTCCCTTCCAGCAGAATGCAAACTTCTTTCTGGTAAGTTGTTTGTTTTTTGTCTTTGTAGCCCTAGCACTTTTATTTGCTAATATGCATTTAATAAGTGTGTGTTGAATGGATGGGGTAAGTCAGTGTAGCAGTTCATTGATGAGTCTGTGTTTTGTGAGTTTCCCCAAGATCCTGGACTACATTGACTTTTTGAGATGTACAGTACAGTTAAAGAAAACATGAGAAAACCTTGAATTAAGTTCAAGTACTGCATTCATTTTTTGTGAGGAATTGTGGGCATTTTTGAAATGCCACCAAGCGGTGGCTTTAGAAAAATCCACACCCTTTTCTGCTAGAGGTCATAGTTAGAGTACACTAACCTGTTCACATCTATTAATGGGCAGCCAGATGGAGCCTTGGATAGAACCCAGGACTTGGAGTCAGGAAGACTTGAATTTGAATTCTGCCTCAGACATTTACTTAGCTATGTGACCCTGGGCAAATTACTACCTCTTTATACTTTAGGTTCCTCATCTGTAAAATGGGAATAAAAATATCACCTACCTCAGAGTTTTTGTGGGGATAAGGTGACTTAACATGTAAAGCACTTTGAAAACTTTAATGTGCTATATGAATATTATTACTATTATTATTTTCTAACGATTTTGAATTTTTATTTTCCAGGAAGACTTTACCCATGTCTGTGGAGAAATGTTGAGCTTATGAGCCCTGTGCGGAACCTGGCTGTTTGTAACATCTATGGTGGACAGAAATATAGTACCCAAGCAGCTGAGGATAAAAAAGAGGAGCCGCTGCATACTATCATCAGCAGTACAGAGACCGTTCAGGGTATTAACAGGAATTGGCTTGGGTATTGCTATTGGGCTCAGCAATAGGAGATAGTTGAGATGATGGGAGCAATTATGTGATAGAGCTGTCTATTAACTCTGAATATAGGAGGCCTCAGACACTTGAGATGTTTCACTTTTCCCTCAAAATAACATGCCATCTCTGTACAGCAAGGACTTCTGTCTTTCATCCTAATGCGCCTCACACCCTCTGGTGGCTGCCTGTAAAACTAGAGGATGTGGTGCCATCCTCTTAAATGATGATTTTACTAGTGATCATCAGAGATAAGAAGTAAATTTGGAGGTTACTGGTGGAGCTTCCCCAAGGATTCGTTTCTTGGAATTTTTATCTTTCATTCCCTGGGGGTTTAAGAAGCTTTATAAAGATTAACTTCATAACCATTCTTGAAGTCTATCCATTTCTGGTTTTCAGTGTCCAGGTAAAAACAGAGGATGTGAAATAAAAAGGGATGAAGATAGATTCAGTTTCTTTGATATGGTCTCTAAGGGCTGATAATCAAGTATAAAAATGTTTACCCTAGAGATTGTCAGGTAATTGTGCTGTCTGTAGCCTATAAAAAGAATATCTAAGACCAACTCCACAGCCTTAAAGTACTTGCCAAATTGATACTAATGGAATCTTTTTTTTAAAAGCATGAGTCCAGTAGTATAGTCATCTTTATATATGTATTTTTTCATCAGTAATTTTTTTTATATTTTATTTTTTTCACTAATTACTTGTTAAAACTGTTTTTTAACATTTTTTTTTTTAAGTTTTGAGTTCCAAATTCCTGCCTCCCTCCTGTTCCTCCCTCCTCGCTGAGATGGTAAACAGTTAGGTATAGATTATACATGTGCAGTCATGTAAATCATTTCCATATTAGTGATTTTGCACAAGATATATATGTATTTTAATTCATACTATTAGAAGTTTTTGTCATGTAAAATATGTTACTTGGTCCCAGGCCACCCAATGGAAATATGCAGTGTGACTTCAAATAATGGAATCATTTCAGGGGAGTGAGTTATTTGCATTAATTGGGATATAGATATAGACTTAAGTTTCTTTTTCACTCTGTTCTAAAAAGGAGCCCTAGAAAGCCCGAGTCTACTGATCAAGGTGGGAAAATTTTGTAGGACTTCCTTACCAGTAAGACTCACCCAGAAGTTATATGTTCCTGAAATGTCCATTGACTCCCTTCATACCATTCACTGTTTAAAAAAAGAATAGCAAAAATCATTAAAAGTAATCCCCACCCCAATCATTTTTATATGTCCTTACAGGAAAATAGAAATTAGACCTTAGTGACTGCGTGTGTGCTTACTTACTAGGTTCTATCTCCAAACACGAGTTCCAGGCTGAGACAAAGAAGCTTTTGGATATTGTTGCTCGGTCCTTGTACTCAGAGAAGGAGGTATGGTACCTGTTAATCACTCCTAATACTGGCATTGTTTCTGTTGGCAAAGCTGTATTTTTTACACAATTTTGAGGAATGCCAGATAGTATATTAGTTATGAGAATGTACTGAACTCTGGGCATGTTCTATTCTAAGCTACCAGAGAGTCCTTTACACAGAAATCTGCTTCTAGTTTCACAGATAAATATACCCAGATGGTCCTTTGCATAGGTTGACTCTGGAAATAAATTTTATTTATTTATTGACAATTTAGTCAGTAAATCCCTTTGACATGTTGAACTGGGGTGATAAGGAGTTGTGCTCATTTAAGTCTAAAGTAACTAAAATTCCATGGTGGATGAGTTCTTGGTGTGCATTATGGTTAGTAAATATGTTGCCTGCCTTAACTACCTTAAGTTTTGGAGATTTTTGAGGTGATTGCTTAAGAATAAGCCAGTGAGCCATCTTTCTGGAGGACCTATTATGTGCTGTATTACCAAGTAACAAGTTCTCTGAGGAGCTTAGAATTCTCACAGGGGATACAGAATACTTAAGAAATGAAGAATAGAAAAGTCATAAATATATGTATATATAGCCAGTTACTGCTATACAGAGACACATAATTGAGTATGGGGTTACAGAGAGGAGTAAAATGGAAGGGTAGGACATGTATATGGTAAAGAGGAGGTTGCCTTAAAAGAAATATTGTATAAAGCACCGTTTTAAGTACCTCAGTTTACCCCAGATTCAGTTCTACTTGAGGAGAAGTTATACCCTGTGAGTATTTTATGCAATTTTGCATTGCATATATTTGGAAAATGAAGTTTGTCATAGATTTATTTTCCGTTGTCCCTGATAATGGATTTGTAATGGGTCCTACATATGTTTGTAGAATACAATTGATTTCAGTTTTATAGAGATATTTAATTGAAACTTACCATTTGAAAAAGAAGCAGTGAACATTTTTTCCTTTATGCAGTAGAAGAGATATGGTATAGTTAAAAAAAAAAATCCGCGATGGCATTTACCTTTGATTTTAGAATTTTACATGACAGTTCCATAACTTTTGGCTTTATAAATTCAAAAAGATTCCATGTCATGACTTTGTTTATCCCTCCTGAAGGAAAGGGTTTGATGGAACTGCCTCAAGAAACCTCTTTGCAGTTAAAATGTCAGGAAAACTCTTATGTTCAGAGAGCCAAAGCATTCTGGGATTATTTTTCCCAATCGTGTAGTGGTTTTAATTGTAGCTGAGTATTGCAGTATTTACTGCAGGTTACCTCCATTTTATCTCCCTTTCAATAGGTATTTATACGAGAACTGATCTCCAATAGTAGTGATGCCTTGGAAAAATTGCGCCATAAGTTGATTTCAGAAGGTCAGACATTGCCAGAAATGGAGATTCACTTGCAAACAGATGCTGAAAAAGGCACCATCACAATCCAGGTATGTCCTTTACCCAGTCTTGTATAATTAGAGAAATCCTCTCTTCCCTTTCAGCACTTCTAATGGGTAATATCTACAAAAAGATAATGGAGGGACACATGGTACATTATAGCCAGTGGACATATTTTACTTACGTAATTTTAGACAGTAGACATCCTACTTTTTCATTCTAAGGTGATAGGTTTTTAGAAATACAGGATCTTGGAACCCAGAATCTTAGAAGTCAAGCATGGTACCTTGGACCTAATAGGTATCTAATAAATATTACCTTAACTAAATTGAGTCATATCCTCCTTTCTTCTTATTTTCAGATGAAGAAACAGGCTCAGAAAGGTTAACTGACTTGTTCAGGATGGCACAGCTTGTTAGTGACAGAACTGTAACTCTTACTCCACATGTTTTTTGAATTTGATTGCCCATTGATCTGGGCCAGGGGTGGGGAACTTGCTGTCTCGAGGCCACATGTGGCCTTCTAGGTCCTTAGGTGTGGCCTTTTGAATGAGTCCAAGTTTTATAGAACAAATTCTTTTATTAAGGGGGTCTGTTTTGTGAAGTTTGGATTCAGTCAAAGGGGTGCACTTGAAGACTTAAGAGGGCCACGTGTGGTCTCAGGGCTGCAGGTTCCCCACCCCTGAATTTCTGGGTGTTCCCTTCATCATTATAGGTCTAAATCATCTCTGCCTTTTCAACCTGTGTAATTCTTGTTTGTGTTGTCTCATAGATCCTCCAGATATGATCTACCACATTTGAAGCATTTCTTTGTGTCTTTTTACGTTTTACATATGACTTCTATAGATTTCATCATTGATAGCAAAATGCTTAGCACAGTGTTGGCACCTAGTAGCCACTGACTCTCTGAAACTCATTTTCATAGTCATTGTTTATATTGTTTTGATGGTTCTGATTACTTCACTTTGCATCAGTTTATGGAAGTTTTCCCATACCTCTTCATGTTTATTATTTCTTCTGGCATAGTAATATTCCTTTACATTCATGTACCACAATTTGTTTAGCCATTCCTGAATCAAAGGGTTTTATTAAATACTGGGTTATTGTTTAATCGCTTTTGGTGCTTGCTAATTTTGTCTGTTCCACAGATCCTACATTTCTGTTTTTTTAAGCAGTACCAAATAATTTGATGATTACCCCTTTATAACATAGTTTGAGGTTTGAGAGTGTAGTATTTCTTCTTCATTCCTACTTTTTTCCCTAGCTAATCACTTGAAATTCTTGTTCCTTGTTTCCTCCCCTTGTTCCTCAGTTGTATTTTGTCCAGTTTTGTAAATTTCTTTCCATTTTGACTTTGATAAAGTTGTGACATCAATAAAAACTTCTTGTCTTAGTGTTGGAGGGACAAAAGTAATTATTTGTTTAGATAGGTAATAATGAAACAGCCATTGAGATAGAATGGATGTTAGAGGAGATCTAGTTTGTATGTAATTGAATAAGGATACCTCTATAAATTGGTCATCTAGCCTTTGTTTAATTCAGTGCAGGAATACCCAATACCAGTTCCTCTTCTGTACGTCTCTAATTGTTAGCAAGTTTTCCTTGACATCAGGCCTAAATTTACCTTTCTGCCACTTACATGAAATGTTCTTAGTTCTCTGCTTTGGAGTGTAGTAGAGCAAGTTGAATCCCTCTTCCATGTGCCAGCTTTTCAAATACTTAAATACAGCTATCATGTGTCCCCTAAGTTTTCTCCTCTTTAAACTAAATCTTCTTGAGACTCTTTACTGTCTTGGTTGGCTTGCGCTGAATGCTTCAGTTCATCAGTGTCCTCCCAGCACTGAGCTATAGTTCTCCTGATGTGGTCTGGCCTTGGTAGAGTATAGTGAAATCACCTTCCTAGTCCTAGACTTGATGCCTCACAATACAGTTGAAGGTTGTATTGTCTTTTTTGACTGCCAATTCACACTGTGGAATCATAGAGGGATGTTAGTTCAGATATTTTAAAATACAAACTGTTAGTGGTGTGCTAATAAGTGTTTAACAATTGGTTCTCCACACGCTTTTTAGTTTAATTTACATTATTAACATTTTCTCCATTACTTTCTCAAGTCTGTTCAGTCAGCAAAACAATAAATCAAGTTCTGATTTTTAGCAATTGTTGACTCCTGAGGTGTAAATGCTCACACTGAAAATAAAATAATAGGCTTTCAGAGCTGATACTAACTGGTATACCTCTACAAACTGCTATCTAGCCATGTGTCACCCACCTTATATTTGTCAGGTTGATTTTAAAAAAAAAATTTAATTTTGAACTTAAATATCAAAAAAGAGCATTTCCATATACACAGCAGAATATAAAAGGGGACTGTTTATGAAATTAAGAATCTCCATTTCAGACCACTTGCTTTTTTAAAAAGCACTTAATAAATTACATGTATTACTTTCAAAACTGCCCTGTTACCTTGTGTTCTCTTCTGTGCATTTAAAAAAATGGCCCCTTTTTGAGGGCATCAGCATTTTTTACCCTTATCCCCACCCCCCCCTTTAAAAAATACAAAACAACAGCAAAAAATCTCTTAGAAAGAAAATGTAGTAAAAAATGAATCCACATAGTGACTATATCCAAAAATGTATGTCTCTTTCTACACCCTAAGTCCATCACCTCTCTGTCAGAAGGTATGTATAACATGTTTCACCATAGAGAATATGTTGATTATTGCATTCATCAGAATTGCAAAGCTGTTTTTCTTTTTTTTTTTAGTGAGGCAATCGGGGTTAAGTGACTTATCCAAGGTCACACAGCTAGTACGTGTCAAGTGTTTGGTGTGAGGTCAGATTTGAACTCAGGTCCTCCTGACTTCAGGGCTGGTGCTCTATCCACTGAACCACCTAGCTGCCCCTGTTTTTCTTTATACTGTAGTTTTTTGTGTATAAATTTTTCTCATGATTCTGCTCACTCTCCTCTGTGTTGCTTTATACTACCCAGAAATCTCTGAAATAATCTCTTTCATCATTTTTTACGGTTCAGTAATACTCTGTTACATTTGTTTACTACAGTTTGTTCAGCCATTCCTTAATTGACAGGCACCTCCTTGTAGTTCTTGGCTGCATTCTGTTCTGTCCTGTCCTTGGGTGCGGCGCCCCCCCCCACCTTTTTGATGCCCCTTTCAAGATCAGGAAGCTTGTTTTGCTTACCTCCCTGATACTGTCCTTTCTCTTAATATCCCCACAACACCTTCACCCCTGATTATTTCCCTGTTGAGTTTGATGTATTTCTATACCAAACTGTTGGTGTGTGTTCAATCCTCCTTTGTCCTTTTCAGATAAGAATGAAGTTAATTTGATGCCTGCTTTCCTCTTTTTTCTCCCATATTTGTATACTTATGTAACTAACTTATAAGAAATATCAAGTTCCACTTCTTCTTTCCTACTTTCTGATTTTTAGTGTGTTCCTTTTATTCTGTTCTCTTTCCCCTCTTTAATAAAATTTTTACAAGCATTTATCTTTCTTCCTGCTCCCCTTATTAAACTTTTTTTTTGAAAAAGAAAACCCTTATAATAAATAAGTATATCCTAGCAAAACAAATTCCCATATTGGTCTTGTTCTGCGTTCTCTTTGTCAGGAGGTGAATACTGTGTTTCATTTTTGATACTCTGGTTTGGGTTTGTCATTGTATTGATGAGAGTCACAAATTTTTCGAAGTTGTTTTTCTTATATGATTTCCTCTGTCTCTGCTCATGTATGTAGGAGTAGAACAATAACATGGTGACATTGAATTCAGAGTTGGAGTTTGATGAGGCATAAGTGTTGATAAAGTAAAAAGGAGTAAGGGATTTGACATTAAAAGATAGTGTAGGTTTGAACAATTATAGAATTGAAATTGGAAAGGAAAGAAAATGAATTTAGAGCAAAGGTCATTACTGTGAAAGTACTGGGAGATAGGAGGAATTGGAGATCTGATGGTTTAGGAAGGGGTGTAGATCTAGTAAGAGACCAGACGTTTGTCATATGAACACCAGCCTAAATCCCTGAGAGTTTCTTCACCATCTTGGTCACAAGATAATGAGTTTTTCAGCCATAGTAACTCTCAAAGACCATCTATGAAGTGATTTCGTAGTGGATGGTCATTTTGGTATTTATAATTGTTATATTGGTGTATTTTTTCCCTCCTTTTTTGAATTAAGTTATGTAAAGTTAGTCTTTTATTTTTGTTTTCAAAGAAAGTTATCAGTTAAATTTTTTTTGTTTTTAATTTTATTTACCTCTGATTATTGTAATTTCTTTTAATGTTCTTTCTGTCTTTGTTAATGAAATTATAGATATAAATTTTCTCCTAATGACTAATTTGGCTGTATCTTAGAAGTTGTGGTATATTGTCTCTTTGTTTTTTTTTTTTAATGAAATTATCTATCGTTTCTATGATTTATTTGACCCATATTCTTTAGAATATTTAATTTCCACTTAAGTTTGTACTTTTTCTTCAAATGGCCTTGATTATAATTTTTGTTGTGGTTAGTAAAAGATCTGTTTAATATTTATGCTTTTTATCATTTGTTTTATGAGATTTTTATGTCTTACTACACATGGTCAATTTTTGTAAAGATGCCACTTTGTATTCCTATTCTGACCCTAGAAATCTATATCTAGCTTTTCTTAAATTTATTCAGGTTTTAATTTTTTTTTTTAAGATTTACTTAGGTCTGAAATGGAAAATCACAATTTTTGAAAATCACAGCTATTAGAATTTTACTTTCTCCCTGTAATTTGATTAGATTTTTCCATCTCATACTTAGATCTTGGGGGTTCTTAAACTTGACATGGATCCCTTGGCTGTGTGATGAGCCCCTTCTCAATAATATTTTTAAATGAATAAAATAAAATAAATAGGATTTTAAAGGAAACCAATTATATTGAAACAAAGTAATTTTTTTTCCCATCCAAGTTCATAGGCTCCCTGAAATCTATCCATGGATCCATTTGTGGTCTGTATAACTCAGATTAAGAACTCTTGACTTAGAAACAATTTCACTTGTGCATATATTTTGAG